TAGTGGGCGGCCGTACAGTTTAGTGGCCGGCCAGACAAAAATCTATTTTCAAGTCCAACTTCAAATGGGCATATCTCCTTCATCCAGACTCCATTTTAGGTGATTCTTGAGTCTGATTTGAAGCCCCAGAAGTCTACTTGCCAAGGGTGGTAGCCTCACAACTAAATTCTAAGTGTACAAAGAGATAGGCCTATTTTTGTGAATGCTGCTCATTTTTATGTTAACGGATTGACGCCCAACCTTTTCCTCAACTAGTTTTCTTCCCTCTCCTCATATTTTCCCCAATTCCAAACCTATAAATAAGATGGTTTTAAAGATTTTTCAAAGAATTCACGTCCCTTCCATTTATTTCCACTTTGTCCTTACTCGGTTTACTGAAAAGTGCAATATTTAAACAAAATACGAGCCTCGAAACATCATAGAAACATTTGGAAAAATATTTTGGAAAAGAGAGTTTTAAGGTCTAAAATAGTTTTGGTCTAAATGGGGTGTAAAGTTGGGATTAAAAAGCTCTTCTTGTTGAAGAAATCGAACATTTGTACAGAATAACTTTCATCATTGAATGATTAACCTGAGGCGCCCAAGTCTTAAGAGCAGTCAAAAATGGGGTATCTACAGGGGTGATTTTGTTTTTTGACTTTTTACGAAAAAAATGTGTAAAGAGTAGAGAGAAAAGAAAATATTTAAATTTTTGTATAGTTCTTTGGCTTTTTAGATTTTTAAGTAAATATATATATATATATATATAACAAGGTTTGATTCCTTTCGTAACCACGATTTTTAGAGATTTATCATTATTCTAACCGTGATTACAAAATATTACTCATAACCTACAATGTCAAACAATAAGCCATCATTTTTTAAACAATAAATGTCTAGAACTAGTTCTTGTTAGCATTTGTGCCCTTAAAAACCAATTTATTGACTTTATTAATTGATTATATAAATTGCTTGGCATTTTATTTTGCATTTTGGGTTATGTTATATTTAATGTTACATACGATGTGAACATAAGATCCCTTGGGTAACATTGTAGAAAAACATGCTAATGGTTAATGAACCAAAAGCTGGGAGTTATGATTTTTCGGTGGCTTGTAGACCCAATTAATGTTCTAGGCTTTGGGTGTTGATTGGGCGTCACACTACTATGGCCTACACCTGTTTTGCTGCTATATGATAGAATGATTAACTTCATCATTGAGGTAGTGACCTTAGGCAAATAGGTGGGTGTTATGCAATAAGTACATACACTGAACAGAATCAGTTTTGAGAACACCTATGGAATGATCACTGTCAGTTTAAAAGGTAGTTCTATTACAATACACTTATTTTCCTTTGATGTGAGAGGCTTTTATAAATTAATTAATTATTCATTTAACTTTGATATTTTCAATCAGTGATGCCGAACCAAAGGCTATACATGGATATATTGGGTTATGTGAGTGGTAATTGATTTATATAGGTGCTTAACATGGAATCCACTATTCTCAAAGCGAGAAAGTATATTCAAGCAATTTTTCCTATTAACGTTGGACCAAAAGAAAATCGGCTGGTAACTTTTTCATAAAAATATTTTATACATATATAATTACAAAAGTACTATTTTTGAAAAATGCTTTTGGGGTCCAATTAGAAGAAAGAAAAATTTAGAATTCGATTACATGAGTTACAACATTTGATAGTGATAAATTTGTCCATACCTAATAGCTCATGTGGAATATAATTTGGTAGAAGGAAATTTGTGATTAATTGTAAGAAAGGGCGTCACTTGTAATTCTCTACTTTTAGGGTGTAGACACCCCATTTTTGACCGACCTTAAGAATCAGACGTCACCGATTGAGTGCTTGGTGATGTTTCATATCGTGCTCGTTCAGAAGTCTCAGAGTCGCGGCCGTGAGCCCTGCCTCCGGATTTCCAAACCCTCTTCTGTGCCTTGTCTTGGTTTGCGAACCAGACTCGGTTTTCTCTGTTTCTTTACCGAAGGGAGGGAGAGGTCTCGTAGATTATCTCTCAGTGGCCGTAGGCTACGTTTCGTGGTCGTAGGCCATTTTGCCCGTTTGGAGTCCGGTTTTCGGTTTTTCGGAATCGTTGGCCGTGTGCCTCTGTTCGGGACCGCTTAACCACATCCGTTTGCCCCGATTTTTGGCATACATCTTATTTGATCCCTTTTGAGGGACACTGTGGTCCGAGAGACCGGCTTCGTGGTCGAACACCACTCCCAGTGCCTAACAGCCAGTTTTCGGTGCCTCGGGCTGCGCGTTTCGGCCCCCGAACCTTCTTTTTGCATCGGTTTGGGCTCATTTTTGGTGGAGAGCTTATTTTCATTGTTAGAAAGCTTGTAGGAGGGTGGGAGGCTAGCAATTTTTCTGAAAAGCCAACTTCTTTTTGGTCAAAAGTGGTTCAGCATGAATCCGGGAAGGAGAAAAATATGCGCGGCTTCACTGAAACGGGCGTAACTCTTTGCACAAGAGGAATTAAGAAATGAGGCCACCACCATTGGAAAGATTACTTCCGGGGCTTCATTTTTCACTCACGAATCTCCAAAGTCCAAGTCTGGGGGGGGGGAGATGTGGTTGGTTGAAGTCTTAACATTGGACCAAAAGAAAACCGGCCGGTTACTTTTTCGTAAAAATATTTTATACATATATAATTGTAAAAATACTATTTTTGGAAAATGCTTTTAGGGTCCAATTAGAAGAAGGAAAAATTTAGAATTCGGTTACATGAGTTAGGGCTTTTGATAGTGATAAATTTGTCCATACCTAATAGCTCATGTGGAATATAGTTTGGTGGAAGGAAATTTGTGATTAATTGTAAGAAAGGGCCTCACTTGTAATTCTCTACTTTTAGGGGTTTAATTGTAATGTGTTGATGGACATTATTGCAATTAGTGGAAGTTCTATATTATCTGTTTAAAAGATAATTAATGAAAAATTGGATAAGTTGTATCCTGCATATTTAAGATAAAAGATACATCTTTTATTTTATCCCCACAACTAAAAGATAGAGATCCCTAAGGATCTCACCTACATGCAAACTCTATCATGTGTTGTGTATATATATCAGATGTATTTGATACAAAAAATTAGCCATCAGAATTTTTAAGGTCTGTAGAAAATATATACACAAAAATAAATTCAAAAGGGTTGCAAGGTGAATCACTTTGAAGGCGACACACTTGGATCACTTTGTGAGGTATTATCAAACGCTCGGATTGAGGTATTTTAGATTGTGTAATCAGGTCGTATTTCTTTCAAAATTGTTTTTCAAAATAAATTATTTTTTTGTAAACTTTCGTTGGTATCAGAGCCACGCCATTTTGATTACATAAATCTTTTTTTTTTTTTCATATTTGGATATTCGATGTTGTCTTGCGTAATAGTTGATTATATAATTTGTGAATATATAATCTATATTTTTTTTGTATTAATCACCATAAAAAGGACCAAAACAACATTAAAAAAATTAAAATTAAATTAAAAAAACAATAAGGAGAGGGCTGCTGACCTGTGCGCTGACGCCACTGACACATGTAATGATGTCATCTGCTTCTGCCACGCGCTTGTTTGTTTGGTTTTTTAATTTAAAACTAAGTTAATCGCTTCTATATTATTCGTTATAATTCTGTTTGAAGCATGACTTGTACCGTTGGACTCATAATTATTTTTTCTACAAGATTTTAAAGTTTCAGAATTTTATGGAAAATAAAATATTTTTTCATTAATGAATAATTCAATATTTTTATGTTAAATTGCTCTTGGTGGGGCATGATTTGGATTCTGGACTTGAAATTTTTACAGTAGACTACTGCTATGTAATTTTATTTACTAGTATAATTTTTGTATTTTTCAGATTCTATAATATTTATTTCTGATTTTTTGTGTAATTATTAATTACTTATAATTCTAGAGAATTTCAAAAAAAAATTATAGAAATCTGCTATGGCATTATTTAAATACTATACACAACATGTTAAGATCTTTTAAATGATTAGAACTTGTAGTATATTGTTGTTTTAAATAACATGATTTATTTATATTGATGAATTTTAATTCCATGATTAAATATTCTAACATATTTTCTTTTCTGAATTACATTGAGATGTTATCATGTGGAATTAATGTTTTATCACACTTTAGACATGCCATAGTTAATGGGAGGTCGTTCAATTGATAAAAATCTTTGTAGATTTTCTCCCGAAAATTATTTTACCGTTGATGGCATATGACCATATTCATATATATATATATATACATATATATTTGTGGGTTTCATGTTACTTATGATAACATGAAAATTAATTTGCTAATTCATGGAGATAAATTAGTTATAATGTTATTGGTATCCCATTTTAATAATTAAGTGTTAAATAGGATTATTTTAAGAAAAATAATGCCTATGGCCCTCCATTGTTGGTAAATAAAAATTCTAATTAATTGAGATTCAAATGATACCAAAAGGGTTGGTTGGGTTTTAATTAATTAGTTTATTTTATTTATTTTGTGAAAAGTATAAATGTGACTAGTGGGAGTGTCGGCTAAAATGAAGGCATAATCTTACATGTTCATGTTATGTATCTAAACAATGGTTTGCACTTAGACAAATACTATATGGTAACCAAAAGGTGTCATATGAGTTGATTTGGAGGCCAGAAAAAAAATTGGGAATCATAAATAAATTTAATTTTTCTAAAAGAAAAAAGAAAAATGGTAACATGAGATGATATTATGATGGGCAGTAGCTACCCACCCATTCAAGGTATGTTCACTTATTTCAAAAGAAATTTGTGTACATACAGGATTGGTTACCCAATGCTCACTATGAATGTTTTAAATATAAGTATTATATTTGTGGGGTTATAAATCGTTTGCATAATAATTCTAGTGAGCATTACCGTAGTAGATTCAAAATCCCACATCCTATGGATTTATATACAATGCATTACTTATATTCTTCTAACACATGTTTTAATTTTTAACATATGCAGTCTATGTTAAAAATGACCAACTTTTATCCTTTGTCCAAAATTCTTAATGATAATCATTTGACTGGACCAAACTATGTGGACTGGAAGAGAAATTTAACAATTGTCCTCACTGCTGAAAAACTGAACCATGTCCGAACGGCTGATCCACCTGCCCTCCCTTGGGTTAGATGCCACTGATGAACAACGTGAAGCCACTAGGAAGTGGCATGAGGCGGATGATGTTGCAAAATGCTACATATTGGCCTCAATGACCAATGTGTTGTAAAAGCAGCATGAGGGTGTTCCTACTGCAAAAGACATGATGGTAAATTTGAAAGAAATGTTTGGAGAACAGAGCAGAAGTGCACGCCAAATTGCCATGAAAGGTTTGATGTCCACCAAAATGGTGGAAGGTACTCCAGTACGAGAACATGTTCTGAAAATGATATCTTTCATTAACATACTAGAAACTTTGGGTGCAGATATTGATGGTGAAACTAAAATTGATGTGATCCTTTCATCTTTACCAGATTTTTATAATTAGATTATTTTGAATTACAATATGAATAAGATGATTGTTACACCATCAGAGCTGCTCAATATGTTACAAGTAGCAGAGGATCTTATTAAAAAGAGCCAACCCACTATGATGATGGGTGAGAAGGAAAGTCCTAGAAAATTCAAGCCTAAAGGCAAGAATAATTTTAATAAAGAATCTATGGGCTCTAAGTTCTCTGGAAAAACACAAGGTGTTTTTAAAAAGGGCATAGATAAAAACAAAAGCAAAGGAAATTGTTTCCATTGCGAAAAGCCTGGCCATTGGAAGAGAAATTGTCGTCATTATTTAGCAACACTGAAAAAGGACAAACCTTCGTAAGGGGTTCAAGGAGACCATAAGGCTTAATGAAGGGGAGATATTAATAAAGTTGGGAACAAGTGCAACAGTTGCTGCAGTTTTCATAGGAACTTTTTATTTGGAATTATCATAAGACTTTAGTTTTAGAAGATTGTCTATTTGTGCCAGATATCCGTAGAAATTTATTTTTTGTTTCAAAGTTATTTCGATGGGATATTGTTTTTCCTTTTCCTCAAAAATTGTTATCCTCAGTGCTACAGTTCGGACTCAAATTGTCACGGTTTTGAATCTAATCTCGCAAAGTGCAATGCAAGACCGATAAATCACCAAAGAGTCCAAATCCGGCAAATCGTTTTGGAAAACTGATTTTTTAGAAAGAAGTGCCAAACATGGACTGCTTTTCCAGATAGAGAGTCGCCACCTAAATATTTTATTTTGGAGAAATTTAGGAAACCCTGACTCGTTGCCTAAGGCCACGTGTCCGTCATCACCAAAGTTGCCTCGGCTCGGGAACTTGGGTACGATTGGGGAAGGTCAGCTATGAGCACCCCTGCTCGCCCGATCAAAGATCGGCCACTACTAAACATGATATCTAGTTTTTCAAAACACATGTGTTCTTATTCCGGTTAATTACCTAGAATTACTATGTGATGCGCACAGCGAAACAAGTAAAGACTAGATCGCCTAATTTGGAACAAAGCATCGCATATCCGTTTGTTTGGAAAATGGTTTGAAGTTTGCTACTCATAAGTAGGCTAAAAACATGGATTTCAATGAATCGTTCCAATTCAAGTAATCCAACCTTCATCCACAGGCATTCAGGCAGTTTGTATCAATTAAGCAGTTAGCCTCATGGCAAGCATGCTTTCATGGCAATCAATGACACACATGCGGAGATGCTAAAGCATAAACACTTACAGTGTACTTCGAGCCAAAACAGAAATTAGATAGTAATCAATGCATGATCCTAGTTCATGTTAAGATGGCTAATGCAACACATACAAAATGCAACAAGAAATAGGCTCGGCTATTCTAATATGGCATATGAGATACAATAATTGATACATGTATTCAACTTGAAATTGAAATACAATGCAGTTAGTATGATGCGCCGAGCCCGGTGCATGCAAAATAGATGAATGTATGCAAACATGCGAAGCATAAGTATGCTAATTTGAAACATGACCTAAAACTAACCAACGAAAGCAGGTAAGTAAAAGGAAGAAATAAATGGAGGTTGGAAGACATGCACACACGCACGCACACTTATTACAAAATTGGCCCTCTCGACGGAGGGTTCGAGTAAATAATACAAACCGACTAATTAACTAACTAACAAGCTAATTAATTATTACACAACCAAATTGAATACCTAGCTACAACTAATTATTACAAGAATTAACTAATTAACAAATTAATTAATTATTACAAATTGATGCTAACCAACAAGTAAGCATGAAAAATAAGCTGCTTCAGCTCTGTTCGAAGGAGAGGATGCATGTTCGGATGCCGCCTCGACAAGCTCTCTGGTTGCTCTTTAGAGGTTCTGTCTACAGGGTGTCCTCAAGGAATTCCTACTGAACCTTACAAAAAACATGCTGGGGAGTGCATCAGTGGCCTTCCGGCCATGGGGAGCCACTGCCGACCAAAAATGAAGGGGTGCCGGACAACAACAAGGCACTGCCGGCCATCTGCAAGGCACTGCCGGCCACTGATGTGCTGGGACACCAAGTTACAATAGAGCACAAAACGAAGAAAAGAGAGGGTCTCCCAAGGGTATGTACACACTATGCCACCCCATATCATCTCAAAACATCAAAGGAGAGGCATAGTTGGATCTACGACCATCAATCACGCATCCCGATGCATGATGGCCAAAGATTCAACTTGTGCAAATCAATATGAAATGAATCCACAAATAAACACATAAAGCCTAAAACTCTATCATGAATCATCAAGAGCGGACGACTGAGAATTGAGACACGTTTCATCACTTGAAGTATGAAACACCCCTCATTCCTCGTGCTTGGATTAATACTTAATCCAAACAACAATGCAATGCAAGGATGGCATACACAATGCTAACTTGAACAGGCAATCATGCAATATGACTTAAGCATGCAAAATGTTGTGTAATAAACATGCAACAACATGTAATGGAACTAGCATGTGAAAACATGCAAAGATAGAGCAAGCATATAACAATATGCAAGACAAGCATGCAACAAAATGCAAGGGATGGACTTATACCAATATGGGCAGACCTTAACTATGCCCAAATCAGTGGCCATAAGTGATGAATTGATAGTATGAAGAGCATGAAAAGGCAAGGCAAACATGCATGCCAATTGGCTCGAGGATTAAGGCACAAAGATGCAACTCTTAAGTACACTTAAAGGGTGACAAGCATGGAAGTATGACAATACGACATGCTCTGAAATGATGTTAGGATTGATGCCAAATCACACACATAACATAAGCATAGCATGCATGAAGCTCAAAAGCTAAGAACTAGCAAAGGGACTTAAGCCATGGCCATACAAAGAAAGCCTCAATGGGCTAAGGAAACCTAAAACAGTCCCAAGGCAAGTCCAAACAAGGCCAAAAACAAGCTCGAAGCTAGCCAGCACAAGCTAGAACACAAGGCCAAATACATGGAGCATGCAAGGCTACAAAAGAGGTAATGCACTACACCTATTGAAACCAAACATGGCATGACTTGGACAACATAAAACAGAGTTACATCATGGTATAACAAGACCAAAAATGCACTGATATGATGAGCCAAAGGCTTAGGCTTAATGGCATGCACAATGATCCATTCATGAGGCATAAAGAGCCATGGCTCCAAGACATTAAAAGCATGTCAAATGCAAGTGTATGGCCACATTTCATGGACTGAAATAACATTTAGAATGATGGCAAAGCATGCAAACATCACATGTATGGCATGGTAGGGGCCTCAAAACCCAAGGCTAGCCTAAACATTTACACTATAGCTATACAAAACATGAGTGATATGGCCATGGAAGCCCAACACAGTGTTAAAACACCTCAAAATAAGAACAAAAGCATGCTAGAGTAAAGCCAAAATATGCTAGGATGATGAGTCAAGACATCATGCACATAAAGCTAGTAAGCAAGATTTGTTCTACAAGTATATGGAGATGAAAAATACGACCAAACCAACAAAAGATAGAGTCATGACATGCCAAATGATGACCAAATACATGCTGAAATGGACTGAACATAAGCTAGGATGACATGCTAAAGCAAGAAGCATATAAAGCGAGTTTATAAGATTTACACTACAAGGGTATTGCACATGCATGGAGTGACAAAACCAACCCAAAATAGATCTAATGCATGGTAAAACATCACCAAAAACCTACTGAAATGGACTCAACACAAGCTAGGCAAACATGCTACTTTGATGAGCTACAAATGGGATTACACTACACATACAAGATGCATGCAAAAGGTGACCAAACCAGCCATGGATAGAGCCAAAGCAGGTCCTAAAAGTCACAAAAAAAGGGCCTGAACCAAGCCTCAAAAGTATAGAGAGGCATGCTCCTTTGGAAGGCCAAAAATGCAAGCAAACAAAAAACAAAAGAGAGGGGGCCACCCCCTCTGATTTGAGGCCTCAAAACAACATGCCTACCACTGAAAATCCACTAGATTTCAGTGGTTAGAAGGCAAAACCAAGGCTAGCTCGGAGGCCTTAAGGCATGGCTCTAAACAAGGCTAAACAAGGCCAACAAGGGGGTTGAAGACCCTCAACAGCCAAAAGACCTTAAACAAAATTCAAAAGCACTTAAATATAAGACTTTTTTCAGTTGAAAGCAAGGCCTAAAATAATATGCAAGGATGCCCAAAATGAGATACAAAAAGTGCTAAAAAGGGAAAGAAGCTCATCCTTGAAGATCAACTTTGAAACCAGCAACTTCAGGGGGTAAAACCTCACTTTCAGAGCTCAAGAAGTCCTCCCAAGAACCTCAATCCAAAGATGATGGTGTATCTTTAAGTGTTGTAGTGTAAAAGTGCAAAGAAAATAGGCTTCAAGGCACAAATCAACAACAATATAGAGAGAGAAAGAGAGAGATATTTCTTCTCAAAATGCTGAACCTCTGCTAAGGAGAGGGGCTTTCTCCTTATATAGAAGAAAAGCAATGCAAAGCTTCTTCAAGAAGCTTGGCAAGAGCTTCATCCCTCCATACACGTGTATGGAGGGCAGATAAAAGGATTCCAACTGGCTCAAAAGATCTGGAGTGAAACCTGTTGAGACAGGGGTGCTGCAGGCCATCAAGGATGGCCAGCAGTGGCTCATTGGTGGCCAGTAGGCTCAATCAATGGCCGGCAGCAACAAAGTGATAGTCGGCAGGGCCAAAAGGTGGCCGGCAGTGCACCAAAAAACACATTCTGAAAGGACCAAGTCATGGTCCATGAATGGGCAGAAAGGATACAGGGTTTGGAAAGCTCAAACCTGTGACGTTCCACCGCAAAAGTCGAATACCTGATGAGCAATCGAACTTGTGTCCGGATGTATCTGCGAGCACAACCGAGTTTTAAGGACGATCAAAAATGGGGTGTCTACAGTTGCCCTTCTCTGACAGAACTCGAAAGTCACGAAGTGACGGGAGTGAGTGTCAAAGCCCAGAGACGACCCATTTTTAACAAGGCCGAAG